CCCGCCCTCGCACCACACCTCCTCCCCCTCTGTCTCTGCTCACTCCATCTCCTCCGTCCCCTCCGTCCCCACTGTCTCGAACCCCAACCTCCCGCATCCCGCGCCCGACGCCCAACCCGCCGCCCACGCCCCCGCACCGCACGCCCCGCAGCCGATCCACGTCCCCGGCCAGGGCACCATGTACCCCATCACGGGGCCGAATGGACAGGTCACCTACTCGTTCCAACCGCAGCAGTTTACACATGCACCCGCCGCCACTTCTATGCCCATGCAAGGTTCCGTCAACGGTTCCCCCCAATACCCCAATCAGATGGGCATGTCGCAACCCATGAACTCTATGGCCCCGCAAACCGCGATGCAGGGCCCCGGGATGCACGGTGGGATGCACGCAATGCAGGCGCAACCCAGCATGCCGATGCAGCACCAGCACGCCATGAGCGGGCAGCCGGGTATGCATGGAGCTACGAACGGGATGGGCATGTATAGTGGAATGGGCATGCAAGCGAGCATGAATCCCATGGGGGCCCAGGGTATGGGCGGCATGGGTGCGCATGGGGGTATCAATGGAATGGGCATGCAAGGAGGGATGAATCCGATGGGCATGCATGGGGGAATCAACCCCATGGGAGCTCAAGCCGGATTGCAACCAGGGATGTCCAATATGGGAATGCCCAACGACATCAACCAAATGGGCATGCAGGGCGGCATGAATGGCATGGCGATGGGTGGTCATGGCGGCGCCGAAAATCCTGGCGGCGTATTGCAACTCAGATCCTGTGGCGGCTTCAAAGACATGAATAGCCAGGTTCACGACCTTCCTCAAGTCACGATTACGAATATCGACGAGGCGGGAAATCGCCTGTTTGCGCTCAAGACCAAGGTGAACGAGCTCCAAGCGAAGCACGATTCGTACAAGAGCCGACAGGTGGCTAATGGTGGAGTGGCGGCGGCTAGTGCCCTCTTCACGTTTGGAACTTCCCTGTTGGTGCAAGGGCCGGCAGCTGTGCATATGCACAATCGTATGCAGACGATCAAGCGCGCCATTCCCGCTTGTCTTGGACAAATTAATACTCTGAGAGAATGCTACGGCCAGGACCCGTCTTGGCCGCAAAGGGAGGCAACTATCATGATAACCGAGAAGGTCTTTGCTAATGGAGTTAACCGCAACGACCTGAAGGGAGGGCTTTAGGAACACCCCAAAGTCCCTTCGCATTCAAGGTGCGTGTCCCATGTACGCAGGAGATTGGTTCGTTCGATTTTTTCTTATTTCGGAAGCTTCGCTCTTCTAGTTGCATCAATGACCTTGTAGAGGATAATGTGTGGATCTCAACTTGTGTGAAATATTTGCTTTTTGGATGTGGCCTTGTTGTCGTAGATCGACCTGGCAGCAGTTGACTTGTACAACAGTACTTCACTCGAGCTCTATTTGCAAAGAGTGTGGGGCCGCGATTTCTTTGAAAATCGATTCTGCGTCTGCTCATGTGTGCGGAGCATCGTTTTACAGATCGACTTCAAATTTATGCGCTCCTGTGACACTATCTTGCACGCGGTAAGGTTGACGACCCACTTTGGTTCTTGTAATTGAAGAATTTAGTGTGCTGTGTGGTTAGATAGAGGACCAGCAGTTTTGCCTCATATGACTACAGCCATTTTATACAACACATCAAATTTGCCAACGGGGATGTCATCTTGGGCACCATTTCCTTTTCGGTATTTTGCCCTTGGCAGTTACATTTGGTACAGCATGGAGATAGAAGTTTTTAATTCATTGAAAAACGGAGAACTCAATGAAGCTTCAAATGTGACAATTCCAGGAGGTTAAACAGTGAGACTGATTGAAGAGCTGCGTATTAACTTTGAAACGATATCACAGAAACAGGATTTCGCTAGTGCTAAGAATGCTTCTTCGGCAGACTGTCCTAAA